TCCTAGAGATCTGCTTTATGTGGGAATTAAATGACAAATCCTGATCAAAGATAACTCCAAGATTCCTGACAGTGGTGCTAGAGGCCAAGGTAATGCCACTATAACTATATCTTTAGACAGTTAACCAGCTTCACACTGTCCACCTTAACTAGATTCACACTGTCCACCTTAACTAGATTCACACTGTCCACCTTAACCAGCTTCACACTGTCCACCTTAACTAGATTCACACTGTCCACAGTGTCTTTGTGTGACCACAGTGTCTTTGTGTGTCCACAGTTCCCAGCTCTCCCAGTTTCTTCACTAAGGTGTTGAACCAAACAGCCATGCAGGTGTACTGGGAGCTGCCCAGTAAGCCGGGAACGCTGGAGGGCTTCAGACTGGAGTACCACGGGGTTTCTAACCCAGGTGTCCAGGGGCAGGAGACCTTCCCAGGACACATCAATACCCACACCATCTCCCACCTGGGTCAGTTAGCCTAGCTTAGCACAAACACTGGAAGCAGGGGGAAACTGCTAGCCTAGCTTAGCACAAACACCGGCAGTAGGGGAACTGCTGCCGGTGTTGATGCTAAGCTAGCGGTCAATGTGTCTCTAATGGTTTGTGTCCATCCTGCAGAGCCAGCAGCCGTGTATGAAATCCAGCTGGTGGCGTTTAACGGAAACGGAGACGGTCTGGCCAACCGCCGCCTCGTGTCTCTGGCAGAGGGACGGAACACTGCAGCAGGTAAGGTGAACCAGTGTAACCAGGGGAACCAGGGGAACCAGGGGAACCAGTATAACGTGGTCTCTCTGTCTCCCTCAGCTGGTCAGACCTGTAACTGTGATCAGTCTGATGGATCCACGTCCACCATGCTGGTTGGCATCCACAGCGGCCTCGCCTGCGTCCTCTGCTGCCTGCTCTTCATCCTGCTGGGATACAGACGCAGGTCAGACCTTCATCATCATCCCCATCTTCATCATCTTCATCTTTATCATCTTCATCTTCCTCACTGTGTTACGTGTTCAGTCTGTTCTGCAGGAAGGAAGTGAGCTGGGAAGCTCCGCCCACCCTGAACGCTGTCAGAGGTGCTAAAGGTCACACACCTGAGAGCATCGAACTGAGCCAGGTAGCACACACATTCACACAGTGTACGTTTCCATGGTAACTGTACTGCAGCCGTTACCATGGTTAAGGTTGTCTTTCACTCAGACAGATAATATGTCTTCCTGTCTGTTCCGCCCACAGAGATGTGACTCCACCCCTCCTCCAGTGATGGTCATGGTTGAACCGACTCCACCCATCCAACCCGGCAACACCGGATAAACACACACCTCCTCCTCCTCTTCCTCCTCCTCCTCCTCCTCCTCCTCTTCCTCCTCCTCCTCCGGTCTCCTCCTCTCCTCCTGACAGCCTTACAGCCATTGCAGCCTTTATGAATAAGAGTGTATCTATGAGATTATTGATTATTGATTATAGATGAGTGTCTGAGGGACTTCCAGAGTCTGATACCACCCAGGAACCAGAACTTCAGATGTCCATGAGTTCTAAAAAAACTAAAACCAAAGCTGAACGGATCCTGATCATGTGACCATGGCCGGTTCCTGTTTGGTATCAGCCACCGTCCCCGATGCGTCTTGTCGAAACCAAAAGCTTTTGTCTTCAGTTTGAGTTTGTCACCATCGGTGCCCAGTTTCTAGAGACGATGAGGCCTTCCACCAGTCTGACCAGAGACCGGGTCTTCACAGGATCCAGTTGAGTTGCTGATTAGTAGTTCCTCTGAGGCCCAGAACCAAAGGGACTGTTTGTTTCTTTGGTCAGCAGGTGGCTGCGGAGGACGTTAGCGCTACTCCGCACTGCTTCAGCCTTTCACTGTTTGTTTGTCTCACCGAGTTCGCCTCAAGTCAGGGTGGAGAGGAAGCCAACAGTTGGTTCTCCTCTTCCTCCTCCCTCCTTTTCCTCCCTCCTCTTCCTCCTCCTCTTCCTCCCTCCTCTTCCTCCTCCTGTTCCTCCAAAGAGATCTACCTCTGGCTCAACACCAAACCTCTGAGCTACAGGCGACTGTTAGCCTCCTGCTGCTGGTCAAAGCAAACCTACCTCAAAACCAAAAGGCTCCTGCGGGGCCATATTGCCATTTTCAACCTTTAGTACCAATGTGGACATCCTGAGACAGTCCGCCCGCCTGTAGTGATGCTTCCAGGACCACAAATCCTGTTTCTGATCTTCTATTCAAAAGAATCAAAATCCAGATCTCAGAATTCAGCGTCTAAAACCCTCTGGAGGTGGACCAGAATCCTGACCTTTAAAATTCTAGAAACATATCAATGTGCACAAAGTCTGGTTTCATCCTGGTCCGTCAGTCCACTGCTCTGGGACTCATAAAGGTCTTATTGAGGTTTCTAGAGTCCAAAGACTTCCTGAACCTGATCCAGATCATCCACTAAAGCTTCTGCAGTCACTAATGTGTTTGGGTCCTGGAGCTCACTGGAGGATGAACCTTTAACAAAGTCAAACAGTCGACACCTGAACCAGGACAGTCTGGACAGTCTGGATGTCTTAGTGTGAGACGTCTCTGTCCCATGTTGTATTTTATTTTTGCAGAGGCAGCTACTTCCTGTCACCTGGTTGCAGGTGTGTGTTTAAACTGAAGTTTAATGTCTTCTAATGTGTGAAATGATTCCTGAACTTTCCGTAGACGAACAGCAGCTTTCTGTAGAGTTTCAGCCAAACTTCCAAATATTCTTTAAGAACAAGCTAAACAACGTCCAAAGATAGAAAAAATAGTTTGTCACAATTTTCTGTTCAAACTGTTTGTTTTCACTTCCTGTTTCCAGAGGCGAAGAACAAAGTGAACCAAAAGAACATTTAATACTTCAGATGAACGTAAATATATATTTTCATATATTTGAACAGTTAAAAGAGCCAAATAATGAACAATAGAAACACTCATATATATATTGATATATCACTGACCAAAAGATCAATAACTCTGATCATCAATAATTCTGAATATGCCCTCAGAGCCACAGACAGTCTGTGGTTGAATGTCTTTACAGCTTCTGGCTCTGCTACTGACAGTGATCCACCTGACCCCGAAACCCAGACTCACCAAGTCCCCGAGTCCCAGAGAACATTTACAATACTTGAATTGATGTTCAGTCCAGACTTGGACCTCATTAGTGGAACCAAATTCTGAGTCTCATGTTCGTGAGTCTCTCCAAGTCCCACCGAGTCTCAAGTCAAACTGAGTCACTACAATTAGTCTCACAGTAATGAGTTACTTTGAGTATCATCCAGCTATGTCGAGTCTTGAGGCATGACGAGTCACTTCAAGTTACATCAATGACATGTGGACATCCTGTTATGTTGAATCTAAAATCCGACTGGAACAACATCTGGTCACGTCGAGTCATGTCAGTTCCCATCAAGTTATTGTGAGTCTAAAATCTGACCAAGTCACATCAAGTCATGTCAAGTCTAAAATTTGCCTGAGTGACGTTGAGTCTCATTGAGTCAAGTCAGGAATTGTTGAGTCATATCAAGTCTAAACTTTGACGCATTAAGCATTGCTGAGTCCAGTCTCAGGGAGCCACCACTTCCCTGCTGCCTTCGGGGTCAGAGGTCAGAGGTCACTGTCAGATGAAACAAGTTGAATGTTTCTAAAAATGTAAAAGTAGAACAAAGTAAAGTGTTTCTAATGTTGGCTGTTCTTTTTCTAGAACTTTCTTTTTTGAATTCTTATTTTCTGTGGCTGCCCTTCGGTGGTGGAGAGGAAATTCTGCCAAAATGAAAACCATTAAAAGTTTTTATTATTATTGCTAATAATATTATGATTATTACCATTTTACCTCCTTGTTTTTATATCGTTTGTCTTTTTCAGATGTTTTTGTAGAAAAATTGTGTTTTCAGCTGAAGGTAGAGACACTGGTCAGACTCAGTGGACATTAGCCATATTCAATAATAAGCCATACATGTGATTTTTAAGCCATATATTACATAGATGTTTGCTTTAAAACCTGATTTCTGCCTCCTTCTGTCCACACACTGTAGCAACTAAAACTATAGAGATTGTAGTGACCGAAGGCTAGAACCAATGAGAAAAGTAATGCTTTAATGTTTCTGATTTCTTTTCTCTCATTTTATTTTCATTAATGTGTCATAAAAAAAGAAAAGCGTCCCAAAGCTTTAAATTGAACAGACGAAGGATGACACAGAAACGAAGAGTCTGACACCTGTTTCTGTTCACAATGGTGTTCAGATTTGGTTGTTTCCACTGGATATACTCTTCTTGGAGTTTTAACGTGTTATTGTTCCATTCTGATGTTTCGACACATGAAAACCAAATAAAACAGAATTGAAGTAGAAAACAGACGTCTTGTTGTTGTTTATTGACTGAAACTGTCTTAAGGTTTCCAGGTTTCCAGGTTTCCAAGTTTCCATACACTGTAATAAAAAAACTGTGCTATGTGTTTGATCAGGTAAACTTTGTTAATATTAGTTGAGTGTTGGTCGAGTGATCGGTGGTTGTGTTGACTGCTGTTTGGGAGGAATAGCGTCCGCCGAGACGCCACCTCTGTCTCTCTGGCATGGAGTGAGGATAGTGCTGCCGGATAGTACGGTCAGTGTGGAGGAGGTCCTGCTGGCTGTCGGTGAGCAGGTAGGACATGATAAACTGTGTTTTGCATCTAGAATGAGGCTAATCAGAAAAAAAGGCTTTAATCAAAGATTGGACTTTGGAGCAATGGAAGAAGGTCATGTGGTCTGATGAATCCAGATTTACCCTGTTCCAGAGTGATGGGCGCATCAGGGTAAAAAGAGAGGTGAAAGAAGTGATGCACACATCGTGCCTACCATATAAGCCTGTGGAGGCAGTGTTATGATCTGGGGTTGCTGCAGTTGGTCAGGTCTAGGTTCAGCAA